ATTACCCTTACAAAAACATCAGAACTCAAATAATTCAGACGTTTCCAGTGACCTTCTGGTAAGTGTTCTGAACGGAATGTCGCCACAGGAAAGGATTTTAAAAATATGCCAGAACCTACCATTTCCTCACTATTGAAGGACGCATCCTTAGCTGTCTCTCACTTTTCTGGGCTAGTGTGAAGCTAGGTGCAGAGGCAAAACTTTCCCCACATAGTTCCAAATATCTTATGACTTTGTTCAGTCCTAACCTCAGTCTTCTACTCCCAGAATTCTCAAGTAATCCATGCCATTTTCATATACTCATTAAAATTAACTTGTATGTTTGATGTGAGAACCTCACATGGCTATCAAGTTAGTTTCTTACTAGTTTTCAATTCTATGTGCTCCGCAGAGATTGAATCAGCTCTGTAGTTATTATTCCTCAGTTTTATCAACCCTGTGACAGTCATGTAATAAAAATTATTTCCCCGTGGTACTTGAGGTGCTGTATTGAGTTTGGGAACACATATTAAATCCCCAAAATGAAAAAAAAAAAAAAAAGAATTATCATGTAGTGTGTTTCTAAAAATATTATTCCAGATATAATTTTTTAAATGTCACAACTCTCATGTGGAAACTGACAGTACCGTTAGCTCTCTGACTTGATGAAAGGTCTATGGAACCTCGGCCGAACCTTCCACTCTCCCAGTCTTTCTTCCTGGCCGTGGTGGATCCCCTCAGCCACAGCATGCATCTGGCTTCCTCTAGTTATGAATCATAAGTAATAACACCTCAGCTGGCTTGCTATGTGCTCCAGGTCTACTTGTAAATTTCACAGTAAACTCTCACAAGGCCCCTGGTGCCAACTCTTCTCTCTCAAGATAACCAGCAAACTCTCTTCCCTTGTGTGGTCTTCAAGCAGATTTGAAACTTCTGAACACTCCTGTCTTCCTAATCCCTCAGAGAAATTTGAGTGAAATATTGAAATCTGAGTGAAATATCAAAATTCCTTCTCCCTGTGTGTGCATGTTTTAAGACAAAGTTGTGTAGTCTGGCCTGTAACTTGCAATCTCCCTGACTCAGCCTCCCGAGTGCTAGGATTACTGGCATGTATCACCAGGCCTGGCATTGTTCTTGAAATGCCAGACAGGAATTTTGATTAGTACAGATTCATATGATGAATGTCATGACTGGTGCTGAATACAGGGAATATGGTTCCCCTTTTTAAGCCCTTGCCATAAACTCTCTGACATGATCCACATGCCACAGATCCCAGAGTTTGGGTTCCAGTGAGCAGGACATGGGGGATGGAGAGGCAAGGTATGAAAGCTAAAGAACACAGCAGGAGGCAGGATGTGGGCACCCATCTGCGGTCCAGCACTCAGATCTGGGTAAGGTCCACCAAACTGGTCTAACTGGCAAATACAGGCAGCTGGGGCCTAGATACAGGAACATCACAGCACCCTCCCGGGAGCTGAGAAGCAAGAAGGAGCTCTGAAGTGACTTCAGGGCAGAGATGCCAACGGAAATAAATCTTGCCAGGGCACTCTGCGCGGTAAATGGGCGGAATCACTGGGGTAGGTTTCTTTTCTAATGGGCAGTATTCATTACTGTCAGATTCGATAAGGGCTCAATCTATCAGCAGCTGGCAATCTCCCCCAGCTGTGAGAATGTCATTTTAGACTCCTGCAGACACCCCTAACAAATGTTAAACAGAGAAAAATAAGCCCAAGGTGTCTACTCCCTTAGGAACCTAGTCCTGGGTTCCCTTCACTTGCAGGAGGAGAACTGAGGAAATGGCTGGGGCATGTGGGACATGGAGGCAAGAGGGTTGGGAGTTCAAGGCCAGCCTCAGCCTTGAACTACGTAAGGTTCATACAGGAGACCCAGTCAAACAGGAGATTGAAATGTAGAATGATGATCTGGTTCAAACACTACCTGGGAAAGGAAGCCTGAGCATGAACTTCTCTCCCAGGTGCTTTGCCAGCAGCAGCCATATTCACCCTCAGAGAGATGGTTTCTCTTCTTAGTCCCATTGGCGATTTACACTCTGCCATCTACAGAGGACTCTGAGCCTGGATCATGGTCCCCATCCAGCCTTTTCCTGTCCTATCCAGAAACCTCCGGTAACTGAAGGGACCAGTCAGCCATCTGCCTGATTGGGTGTGAGTGGAGTCAACAGTTACAATCACTGCAGAGGAGAGACAGGAGATACCTACTCGGCTTCCTACAATCTCACCGGACTGAAATCTGTGAGCATAAATCACCCAGGGCCTTTTCGGTCTGTATGCACAAGGTCACTGAGCAAAGCACACAGCGCTGGTCAAAAGGAGGCCACCTGTGTAGATTTAGCCAGAAATCCAGGTTGTCCTAAGGAAACGCCAGCACCCAAACCTCAGGTTAACAAGCAGCCGACCCTCAAGCCAGAGGCAGATCGACAAAGGCAATCAATACATGCAGACAGTGTGGGGCCTCAGCCTGCATTCCAGAATGGGCGCGGCTCTGTGGGCTTTGCTAGGGAGCCTTCCGCAGGGCAGCTTTTCAGGGTCTACTAGGACATACCAGACTAGAATCACTCCTCATCCAAGAGGGAAATGACCCCTGGGAGAAGCCTCCCTCGTCGTCAACCTCCACAGAGATTCAGAGCGTACTGGGCCAATGTCCTGTTGCTGAGGCTGAGGAATGGGCACAGACGTGGCTGGGCACAGACTGGTGAGGTGGCCAAAGTGGCGTCTCCTTCGGGGCTCAAGCTGATCTGTGACACACAGCCTCTCAAGGACTGCTCTGCCACCCTGGAGAGGAACCAGGGTTCTCCAACCCTGAAGAACAGCACCAGCAGTGCCCGCTCCAGCTAAAGCAAGGGGCAGAGCAGCGGCTGCTAACGATGCGCTGGCTCTGAGCCCAGGGCTTTGCACATATTAAGTTGTTGGTTCTTCAAGACGAACCTAAGGGCCGGGACTTCTTGTCTTATCGACAAAGGACGCGAAACCCGGGCTGGCGGACGGCTCGGGGTGAACCCGATGCACAGGTGTATGGGGCTGAGGCCTGATCCCTGCACCCGAGTAAAGAGACAGGGGTGGCGCAAGCGTCTGTGACCCCACCCCGCGTGCACAGAGACGAGGCATCCTGGGGGCTCCGAGGCCAGCCAGGCTAGCCCAATGGGTACGTTTTGGGGTCAATGAGAGACACTGTCTCAAAAAAAAAGTGGAGAAGTGATTGAGAAGACACGACAATGTTGCTCTAAGCGCCCCAAGTACGTAAGCACAGACAGACAGACAGACAGACAG